GCCATATTTCACAGACTTACAAAGAGCTTTCCAAAAATTCATTTGGAATTTTAAAAAAAAGACCTTGAATATGCCGAAACCGGTTTGGCTCAGTGGTAGAGCGTCGGTCTGCGGACTGAAAGGTCCCGGGTTCGATTCCGGTCCAGGGCATGTACATTGGTTGCAGGCACATCCCTGGTAGGGGGTGTGCAAGAGGCAGCTGGTCGATGTTCCTCTCTCATCGACGTTTCTAGCTCTCTATCTCTCTCCCTTCCTCTCTGTAAAAATATCAATAAAATATATTTAAAAAATAAAAGACCCCGAATAGCTGCAGCAACCGTAAGAAGAAGAACAAAGTATATGGTATCTCAATACCAGATTTAAAGCTGTATTACAAAGCCACTGTTCTCCAAACAACATGGTACTGATGCAAGAATAGACATATAGGTCAATGGAATAGAATAGAGAACCAGAAATCAACTCAAACCACTATGCCCAATTAATATTTGACAAAGGAGGCATGAGCATATAATGGAGTCAAGGCAGTCTCTGCAATAAATGGTGTTGGAAAAATTGGACAGATACATGCAAAATAAATAAATAAATAAATAAAACTAGACCACCAACTTATACCATACAAAAAATAAAATAAACTCAGATTGGATAAAAGACTTAAATATGAGACAAAAAAAAAACACATAAAAATACTAGAGAAATCTCAGACATATGCTGAAGCAACTTCTTCACCAATACTGCTCTTAGGGTAAAGAGAAAATTAACAAATGGGACTATATCAAAATAAAAAGCTTTTGCACAGCAAAATAAACCATCAACAAAATAAGAAGAAAACCAACTGTATGGGAGATAACATGTTTGCAAATATATCACTGATAAAGTTTTAATCTCCAACATCTACAGGGAATGAATACAATGTAATAAAAGGAAAATAAATGATCCAATAAATAAAATGGGCAACAGACCTAAATAGAATCTTTTCAAAAGAAGACAGAAGGAAGGCCAAGAGTTACATGAAAACATGCTCAAAGTCTCTAATCATCAGAGAGATGCAAATCAAAATGACAATGTGGTACCATCTCACACCTGTCAGAATGGCAATCATCAACAAATCAACAAAGGACAGTGCTGGCGAGGAACCCTCATTCATTGCTGGTGGGAATGCAGACTGGTGCAGCCACTGTGGAGAACAGTATGGAGTTTCCTTAAAAAACTAAAAATGGAACTCCCATTTGATCCAGTGATCCCTCTTTTAGGAATATATCCCAAGAAACTAGAAACACCAATTAGAAAGAATATATGCATCCCTATGTTCATAGAAACACAATTCACCATAGCTAAGATTTGGATACAGCCCAAGTGCCCATCAGCTGATGAGTGGAATAGAAAACTATGGTACATCTTCACAATGGAAAACTATGCTGCTATAAAAAAAGAAGGAATTCTTATCATTTGCAGCAGCATGAATGGACCTGGAGAACATTATGTTAAGTGAAATAAACCAGGCAATAAAAGAAAAATACCACATGATCTCACTCATTTATGGAAAATAAAGAACATTATAACCTGATGAACCAAAAGATAGATACAAATGCAGTAAAGCACTGAATAGACTGTCAAATTACAGGGGGAAGGCTGGAGAGTGTTGGGGAGAGAGTGGGGAGGAGGGAAGAGATCAACCAAAGAACTTGTATGCATACATATAGACACAACAAATGGGCACAAGACACTGAGGGGAAGTTTGGGGAGATGAGGGCATGCAACAGTGGGTAGGGGAGGCTGGGAGAAGGTCAATGGGGGGAAAAAAGGAGATATATGTACTACTACATGTAATACTTTAAACAATAAAAAATAAAAATAGCCAATAAATACTAACAAAAATAACCTGATTAATTATAAGAAATTTTTTGTTAAAAACATTATAAAATTAATAAGGTGTTAATTTTCAGGATTTTTTTTGTTTGTTTGTTTTAAATGAATCTTTATTGTTCATATTATTACAAATTTTCCTCATTTTTTCCCCCTCCATTCCTCCCCTCTACCAGGTTCCTACCCCACACTCTGCCCTTTCCCCACCCCCTATTGTCCTCATCCATAGATGCACAGTTTATGTTCAGTTTCTTCCCGTACCCCCCACTCTCCTTTTCCCTGAGAATCATCAGTCCACTCCCCTTCCATACCTCTGATTCTATTATATTCACCAGTTAATATTGTTCATCAGATTTTTTAATTCCCTTGGTTTTTAGATTCACTTGTTGATAGTTAAGTATTCTTTGTTCATAATTTTTATCTTTATTTTCTTCCTCTTCCTAAAGAACCCCCTTCAGCAATTCAAATAATTCTGGTTTGGCGGTGATGAACTCCTTTAGCTTTTTTTTTTTTAATTTTATTTGTGAAGCTCTTTATCTGGCCTTCAATTCTCAGTGATAGCTTTGCTAGGTAGAGTATTTTTGGCTGTAGGTTCTTGCTATTCATCACCTTAAATATTTCTTGCCATTCCTGCCTGGCCTGCATGGTTTCTGTTGAGAAATCAGCTGACAATCATATGGGTGCTCCTTTATAGATAACTACCTGCTTTGCTCTTGCTGCTTTTAATATTCTCTCTTTGTCTTTTGCTCTTGAAACTTGGTGTGATCTTCTTTTGTTTGGGGTTTTGTGCATTTCCTGGACTTGTAAGTCTATTTCTTTCCCCAGGTGGGGAAGTTTTCTGTCACTATTTCTTCCAGTATGTTTTTGGTATCTTGCTCTCTCTCTTCTTCTGGGACCCCAATAATTCTGATGTTGGTTCACTTGAAGTTGTCCCAAAGGTTTCTTACATTATCTTCAACTTTCTGGATTCTCTTGTCTTCTTGCTTCTGTGGAGGAGTGTCTTCTGGCTCTTTATGTTTCAAATCTTTGACTTGATTTTTGCAATCTTCCTTTCTGTTTTTAGGACTCTGTATAATATTTTTTATTTCAAACAATGTATTCTTTATTTCTAGTTGATCCCTTTTCATAACCGCATAGGTCTCATTTATTTTATCTGCCTTTTCTAAGAAATTCTTGAAAAACCTTATAACTGTGGTTTTGAACTCTATATCCAGTTGCTTGTTGTCCTCCATTTCTTTCGTTTGTGATTTGTTTCCTTGTCTCGGCATTTTCACAGCTTCACTGGGTTGGTAGAGTGGCTTTGTGTGCTAAGGTGTCCTATATGGTTCAGTGGGTCAGCCTCCCTGTTACCTGAGGTGGACACTCTTGGTGCACCCCTTTGTGAACTGTGTAAACAGCCTTATTGTAGTTAAGTCTTGATTGTTCTTGGTATCACTGGAAGGAGCTGACCTCCAGGCCAATTGGCTGTGAGGATCAGCTGTGTCTGTGCTGGGAGACAGCCTTATTCAACTAGACTTGAAAAATTGCAAAAGCCTCTGTGCTCAGCTTGAATGGGGTGGAGTTTCAGGGTCGAGCCTACAGCCTTGGCTTCTCTCAGCCCCACCCTATGAGGTTCCTGAGTCTCAGTGTTCCTCAGTGTCCTTTGGTACTCGCTGCTTTGGTATTCGCTGCAAGCACCTCTGAGAGAAAAGTGCCCTCGAGTTTTGCTTGCTATCAGATAGTCTAGTCTCTCCCACAATGAGCCCGGAACTGGGGTTCAGTGCAGTTGGAAGTGGGGTTCAGTGCAGTCCGGAGCTTTTGTCTCCTTCCTGCTAGGGCAATCCCGCGGCACAGTCAACAGTCTGTCCTCTGCGTGCAATGTGTGCATCTCTGGGACTCTTCCTGTTGCTGCTCCACTGAGTTTCCACCTTACAGCCCGGATTCCCTCCATATGAGCTTGGGTCCCCAGGGTCTGGCCTATTATAGAACTAGGGTTCAGTGCAGTCAGAACTGGGGTTCAGCACAGTCCGGAGCTTTTATTTCCTTCCCACTAGGGAACGCCAGCCAGGCACTCAGCCGTGCCCTCCTCTCTGGCTCAGTCCTCTCCCCAAGCTTTCTCCGTATCACCGTACCTTAGGCTTTTACAGCTCCTCTGATTTTCCTTCTGGTTTTCTCTTTCCTTCTAGTTGTAGAATTTCCAGTCAGTCAACTTTCCTGTAGTTCAGTATAGTGTCCATTTTGTATTTTTTTGAAATACAACAAGTTGTGCAAGGCTGCAGTTAGGCGTATACCTATGCCACCATTTTGGTTTCTCCAATTTTCAGAAATTTTATACTTTAAATCTGAAGTCCATTCAATCAAGGTCCACAAAATTGAGGGTTTTCTATAGTTTTCATATGCAGCAAAAGGTGAAAATCACCTAAAGACTGAAAAGGAAATGAACACAACACCAATGCTCACATTATTGCAAATTACCTATTTTCCTTCCCCAGCTAGGTACTCATGCTTATAAGACTTGAGAGGGCATAAGCTTTACCTCTGACCAAAATTACCTGTTATTCTTTCCCAATGCTAGCTGATGCATAACTGCTTTACACTTATATAACAAAAAGATATATTCCTGGAGAATTTCTGCCTCACAGTTCGGTTCCGTAACTATGAAGACCATTGTTTGCAACCTGACCTGGGAAAAATTGTTTGAACCTGCCCAACTATGTTTAGCCTTGAAATATAAATGTATATTTTTTTACACATGAAAGTTATGTTATTAATATCAGCTCTCTAGGATGATTTCAGTTGGAAAAACATTTGTATGTTATGAGAAAAGACCCAGTTAAAAAATTATGAGACATTGGTTTGTGATTTAATTTTGTCATTAGCTGTATATGTCACCTTGTTCAAATCACTGAACTCATATAAGCCTCAGTACAATGGCTCTATACAATCATTAAGCTAGTGGCTCTAATGATTTTAAGGGTTTACTTCAGAAACACAGATATTTCAGTATAATCCTTTTCCTGTGAAAATTATGTTAATTAAAGAAGTATTAATCACAAATACACTTACACATGCAAACTAACACAGACACACACATATATATCAACATACATATGCTAATATTTACCCTACAAAACTGATTTGAAAATGCCTATTTCTAGAGACCGACTCAGACTACTTACTGAGTGCTTTAAAAGGTGGTATATCCAAAGGGGAAGCCAAGACATTATCAACACAAGTTGCAGGTAAGAACAAAAATATTTCAAGTTCTTTTTATGCCTTATTTATCTTCTCAGAAGTTTATTTACTTTAGATCATCAATGACCACAGTTCTTATAAGCTCTTATGACATGATAAAACATCTTCATAATTTCTTCCTATAGCTAGTAGAACTCTAGCAGTTATCATCAATGGAAAATTAATTACATAACATATGTTTTAGGATTTTAAAAGTGATCCTCAAAAATCCAATGTTATTCTGAGCTTAGAATATGCTTATAGGGAGTTTTAAAATGCTGTTCTGTTTACGTTCTTTTTCAGACACAATTGGGTAGCTGTTTTGCATTTGCAAAAGCAGAAAGCTACCTTATACATGGGATTAGAGAAGGAATTTAGAACATAGATATTACATTGGTTAATTCGCTCTAGGTAATTATTTATCAGGAAAAATAATAAATAAATAAATAAACAAACAAACAGTGAAGTTCAATTTCACAAGGTCTATCCCTTAAAAAAAGAGTGCATTTAATGTAAGCATGGAAATAATTTTATTAACATAATTATTCTGAGATGATTTCAATTTGCATAAGAGAAAATTTGTGTGGAATAAACACTGTTTAAGGAATTATGTGGCATAGCTCCTAAAGTGTGTATAAATGTTGTTATTTCCTGGATATTTGGTTTTGGAAAAGTCACTATTCATCTTTGAACATCAATATAATATGGCTTATATCATTGATCCATCTGTTCCAATTTAAGCTTTTGTGAATCTGTAATCCAGATATTTCAATGTAATGCTGTTCTTTGTAATACAACATGCTAGTTGCACCCAACATACACAAATCCTTATGGAAACATATATTCCTATGTAAATGACTTGTGTGTAAATTATAATATGATGTGTTATTAAAGTATGTTTATTTCTGTAGGAATTAATGAAGTACGTTCAAAAGATGCATTTGCACATGGTAAAATAAAGGAACAATTCAAGGCATACCAAATGGAACTCACTGGTAAGAAGAATTTTAAAAAATAAAATATTACAGATTTATTTATTTATTTTTGAAGTTGAACTAATTGTCATCTGAGCCTTCAGTGAGTTGTATTCTCTTTGCTAATGAAGGATCTTATCCCAATGTTGATGGCTGCTGCTAGATCAGACTGGTGGTTGCTGAAAGTTGAGATAGCTATGGCAATTTCTTAAAATCAGACAACAATAGAGTTTGCCACATCAACTGACTCTTCTGCTCATGGATGAGTTCTCTGTAGCGTTCAAGGTTTTGATAGTATTATGACCACAGTAGAACTTTTAAAATTTGAGTAGTACTCTCAAAAACTGCCACCTTTCTTTCAGCTAAGTTTAAGTATTGTTCTAAAGCCTTTGTGGTTAATCCAACAATTTTCTCAGCATCATTTCTAAGAGTAGATGCCATCTCAAGAAACTATCTTTGATCAGCCAGAAGAAAATGCTCAAAGGAATATTTAATTGGACTGAAGACAGAAAGAACCAGCACAATTAGGGTAATGGGAATACCAGGAGGAGAGTAGAGAAAGAAATGAGCAGAAAAAATATTTGAAGAAAGAAAGCTGAAAAATTTTAACAGTATTCAATGAAAGTTGTTAATTTACAAACACATCTAAGCAGAATGAAACCTAAGTAGAATGAGCACCAAAAATCTACAACCAGACCCAGTATAGTAAGAATATTGAAAGATGAAGAGAAAACAACTGAATATGAAAAAAAGAACCCAAGTCAGGTAAGCTGGTCACAAGAGACGATGGAGCTATAAGGCATGAGTGGAATAGTTCAAGTGTGTCAATGAGGAATTTTGTATCAAGCAAACTATCTCCCAAAAATGAAGCTTTAGAGATTCAAGATGGATATGATGTAAGCAAAAGCAACATATACCTGGCAATAAACCTGATTTACAGCTAAAATTTAGAGCAATCTACCTGAGTGGGAAAAATTAAGGACACCATAACTGGAATATTTTATCCAAGGATCAAAAATAAAGAAATTACACAGAAACCGGTAAGAAGAACGTAGACCCAGAGCAGGTTGGTCTCTACACTCAGGTGCATTGGCTAAGACGCTAGAGGAATATTGTGGCTGAAAAACTCCACCCTGAGGAAGGTGGGTACTCAACCCCACCCTGGAGTCCATAAATTAGTGCTATAAGGCCAGGAAGAAGACCCTGCATAGTATTTGGGAGAAAAAATAAGTGGGGATTTTGTCTACTGGAAAGAAAAGGAAGTCTCCTAGAATCCCTGAGTTCTCTCTTTAAGGGCCCATAAACAGGGAATTGCTATTGGACACTCATCTGGGACTCTGGTAGAGGAAAGGAGACTCAGACCATACAGAATCCATAAAGAGAAAATTTTTGTAGCATACTGCAGAGATCTGGAAGGTAGTTACTGAGATCACTGTCCTGCGTCATCATCCCACACCATCCTTAGGCACCATCACCTGGGTTCAAGTACCAATACACACCATAATTAAAGTGGCCAAGTTTAAATACAAAGAAAGAACGAATCTTAAAGTCAGCAAGAGAAAAATTGTTGGTTACCTACAAAAGACTTTCCATAATGCTGTCAGCTGATTTCTCAATAGAGCCACTTCAGACCAGAAGGTATTGGAATGAATTATTCAAAGTAATGAAAAGCAGGTACCTCCAACAAAGACTGCTTATCTAGCAAGGTTATAATTTAAAACTAAAAATGGAACTCCCATTTGACCCAGTGATCCCACTTCTAGGAATATATTGTAAAATATTCCTAGAAACACCAATCAGAAAGGATATATGCACCCCTATGTTCATAGCAGCACAATTTGCAATAATTAATATTTGGATTTAGAAACAACCTAAGTGCCCATCAGCAGATGAATGGATCAAAAACTTGTGTCATATGTACACAATAGAATACTATGCTGCTATAAAAAGGAAGGAACTCCTACCACTTGCAACAGCATGAATAGACCTGGAGAGAATTATGCTAAGCAAAATATGTCAGTTAGAGAAATATAAGTATCACGTGATCTCACTCATTTGTGGAATATAATGAACAGAAACAGATCCAGAGACAGAAGCATCAATCAGACCATCAAACCTCAGAGGGAAGGCAGAAGAGAGTGGGTGGAAGGGGGAGAGATCAACCAAAGGACTTGTATGCATGCATATAAGAATAACCAATGGACAAAAACACTAAGGAAGTGAGGGCATGAGGAGGGAATGTGGGGGGGAGGGGCAATAGGAAAATAAGGACACATATGTAATACCTTAATCAATCAATCAATCAATCAATCAATCAATAAATAAATAAAATGAAAGTGAAATAAAGAGCTTCCTAACAAAAAAAGATGAAAGGAGTTCAGTACCATGAAACCAACTTTGCGAGAAATGGTATAGGGACTACTTTAAGAAGGAGAAATATATAGAGAGAGGAATATAGGCAAAGAAAAAAAGAAAGGCAATAATTAAGTACCTATCAATAGTAATCTTAAATATTCATGGATTAAATGCTCCAATAAAAAGACACAAGGTAGCTGAATGGATAAGAAAACATGGTCCATATATATTTTGTCTACAAGACAGAACAAAAGATTCACACAGAATGAAAGTGAAAAGAGGGGAAAAATATTTCTTGCAAAATGGAAACACACAAAAAAGCTGGGGTAGCCATACTCATTTTTGACAAAATAGAATTCAAAACAAAGGCTATAAAAAAGACAAAGAACGTCACTACATAATACTAAAGGGATCAATCCAACAAGAGTATATAACCCTTGTAACATATATGCACCCAATATAAGAGCACCCAAATATATATTTAATACTCTTGGAGAACTTTAAGGGAGAGATTGACAGTCATAATTGGAGACATTAACATCCCACTGTCATTATGGAGAGAACTTCCAGATGAAAATCAACAAGGAAACTGTAACCTTAAACTGCACACTAAATGAGATAGATTTATTTGATATTTACTTAATCCCAAAGCATCAGAATACACATTCTTCTAAAAGTGTACATGAGAGTCTCATTGATAGACCACATGTTTGAAAACAAATAAGTCTTAACAAATTCAAGATTGAAATCATGTCAAACATCTTCTTGAATCACAATGGCATGAAGCTAGAAGTAATCAACCACAATACAAACAACTCAAAAATATTGAAATACATGGAGGCTAAATAGCATGTTATTGAACAATTAATAGGTTACCAATGAGATCAAGGAAAAATTAAAAATTACCTGGTAATAAAGGAAAATGAACACACAACAGCCCCAAATATATGAAACACAGTGAAAGCAGTACTGAGAGGGAAGTTCATAGCATTACAGGTCTATATCAAGAAATAAGAAAAAATCTCAAGAAAACAATCTACCTCAACACACACACACACACACACACAAAACACAACACATAGAAAAAGAACAACAGAAAAAGCCCAGAGTAAGTACAATAGAAGGAAGAAAACAATAGAGATAAGGGAAGAAATAAAAGCATCGAACTTAAAAAAAACAACAACAATACAATAAATCAATGAAACAATAACTGGTTCTTTAAAAAGATGAACTTTTCTTTTAAATATATTTTATTGGTTTTTTACAGAGAGGAAGGGAGAGGGATGGAGAGCTAGAAACGTCGATGAGAGAGAAACATCGACCAGCTGCCTCTTGCACACCCCCCACCGGGGATGTGCCCGCAACCAATGTACATGCCCTTGACCGGAATAGAACCCGGGACCTTTCAGTCTGCAGACCGACGCTCTACCACTGAGCCAAACCTGTTTCAGCCAAAAGATGAACTTTTAACTAGACAAATCAAGAAACAACGAGAGATGATCCCAATAAATAATATCAGAAGTGAAAGAGAGGTAACAAATGGCATCACAGAAATACTAAAGATTGTAAGAAAATATTATGAAAAAATTGGACAACCAAAGTGAAATATAAAAATCCCTAGAAATACACAGTATTCTAAATCAAAATAAGGAAAAAATTATAATACCTGAATAAACCAATAACAACTAATGAAACTGAAGAAATAATAAAGTAAATAAAAAAATAAAAACTCCAAACAAACAAAAATCCTGCACCAAATTGCTATCCAGGGGAATTTTATCAAACATTCAAAGAACTAACACATATCCTCCTCAAACAATTCCAAAAAATTCAAGAGGAAGGAAGACTTCTAAACTCTCTTTATGAGTCCAGCATTACCCTAACTTCAAAGGCTGATAAAGACATCACAAAGAAAGGAAATGAACAAAAATGCTAAAACTCTCAACAAAATATTAGTAAATTTCATACAGCAATATATTAAAAAGATCATACACCAGGATCAACTGGGATTAATTCTTAGGATCTAAGATTGGTATAATATTCACAAATCAATAAATATGATACCTCACATAAAAAGTAACAAAAATTAAATGATCTTATCAATAGATGCAGAAATCATTTATGAGAAAAACAGTCAGCAAAGTGGGAATAAAGGGATCATACCTCAACATAGTAAATGCCATATATGAAAAACCTACAGCCCAACATTATATTCAATGGTCAAAAACTAAAAGTGTTTCTCTTAACATCAAGAAATAACTAAGATGTTCACTTTTACCATTCATATTTAACATAGTACTGGAGGTCCTATGCACAGGGACCAGATAGAAGAAGAAATCACAGGCATCCCAATTGGAAAGGATGTAGTAAAACTGTCATTATTTACAGTTGAAGTGATACTGTACATCAAAAACCCTAAAGATTCTACAAAAAAACCCCACTACTAAATCTAATAAATTAATTTGGAAAAGTAACAGAATACAAAATCAATATCCAGAAATCAATGGCATTTTTATACGACAATAAAGAGATCTCAGCAAGAGATTCTAAGAAAAGAATTCCACTTAATATTCCAGAAATAGTAATCCTATATAATATAAAACTAATATGCAAATAGACCAAATGGTGGAACAACCAAACAACCAAACAACCAGTCACTATGACATGTGCTGACCAGCAGGGAGTGTATGTGGAACATTGCAAGAATTGGCCACAGCAGGATGGTGGAGCAGATGAGCAGGGATGCCAGACCAAGGTGGGTACCAGTCACTGTCATGGGGGTGAGCCTCTAATAGTTACTGAAAATTATTTGCTCTCACGCTCCGTGGTCCTGATTGGTGCTCACACCTGATGCTGGCACTGGCCTCGCTCATATCCACTGCAGGTGCCAGATCCGCTGCTTGCACCAACTGCCAGTGCTGGCCCTGCTCACCCTGCTGCCAGTGCCCGGGTGCCACTCCACTCGGTGCCATCAGCAGCTGTGAGAAGTAGTTGTCAGCCTTGATTGCCCCTGAAGGTTTCTCTACTTCCCCCAGCTCCTGTGGGGTGATCAGGGCAGCAGCCACCACTTGCACCTGCTGATGGCACCAGTCCTGCTTGCATCCATTACTGGTGCCAACCCCAATGACTCCATGCCATTAGTGGGTGTAAGTGGGGCTGGCACTGTCAGCACATGGGAGCAGCAGCAACAGGAGCGGGGCTGCCAGCAGACAGGGGACTGGGAGATGTTGTGAGAGGGGCCATACGGGAGTGCAGAGGATGGGCTGAGACCCACCCATGTGCCTTCTGCAGCTTCATGGTCCACAGTTCCCTTCAAGGAGCATGAATTCATGCACTGGGCCCCTAGTTAATAATCTTATCTAATTAACCCTCACACCATCACAAAGATGGAGGTGTCCACAGCCAATAAGGCGGGAATATGCTTATTAACTGCCCCGCCCTCAAAGATGATGGCACCCATATCCACAAGATAGTGGTGTTCAGTCCCCTCTGCCCCCCAAGTGCCCAGGGTCAACCCAAGGTGCAGGCAAGCCTCAGTTGTCAGCTGTCCAGCCTCCCAGGGCCAGCCTGAGGCTCAGGTAATCACGGCTGGCCAAAGCTTGTGCTGCCGACAGTGACAGCAGCAGAGGTGTGATGGGGTGTTGCCTTCCCCTTATCACCAGGTCGCCTTCCACCCCTGAGGACTCCCAGACTGTGAGAGGGGGCAGGCCAGGCTGAGGGTACTCCCCTTCTAGTGATAATAATAATGTACATGGGAATAAGTTTAACCAAGAAGGTAAAATGCTTATACTCATAAAATATAAGACATTGAAGAAACAAATTTTGAAAGGTACTAGTTAAAGCTTATACTGTGCTCATGATTTGATAGAGTAAACGTTAAAATGTCCATACTACCCAATGCAATTTATAGATTCAAAACAATCCCTATTAAAATATCAATAGCATATTTCACAGATCTGGAACAAATATGCCAAAAATTTATATGGAATCAAATAAGACTCCAGATAATCTCAGCAATCTTAAAAAAGAAAAACAAAGTTGGAGGGATCACAATACTCAAAGCCATTGTAATAAAAACAGCCTCATAGTAGCACAAAAACAGGCAAATAAATCTATGGAAAATAACAGAGGTCCCTGAAAACAACCTATGCCTCTTTGATCAATTAATATTTGAAAAATAGTCAAGAGCATACAATGGAGACACTGTCTTTAATAAATGGTGTGGGGAAAGTTGAACTGGTACATGCCAAAAAAATGCAGCTTGACCACCAATTTACACTATACACAAGAATAAACTCAAAATGGATAAAATACTTACTAGTAAATGTAAGTCACAAAACCATGAAAATCCTATAAGACATAAGCAGTTAAATCTCAGACAGCTCATATAACAATATTTTTGTCAACAATATTCTAGTGCAATAAAAGGAGGCAAAAACATGCCGAAACTGTTTTTGGCTCAGTGGTAGAGCATTGGTCTGTGGACTCAAGGGTCCCGGGTTCGATTCCAGTCAAGGGCATGTACATTGGTTGCAGGCACATCCCCTACCGGGGATGTGCAGAAGGCAGCTGGTCGATGTTTCTCTCTCATCGATGTTTTTAGCTCTCTATCCTTCTCCCTTCCTCTCTGTAAAATATCAATAAAATATATTTTAAAAAAATAAAAGAGGCAAAAACAATGGACTGCATTAAGCTAAAAAGCTTCTGCATAGCAAAAGAAACCATTAGTAAAATGAAAAGAGAACCCACTATATGGATTGCCAATGATACATCTGATACAGAGTTAATTTCCAAAATATATAAAGAAATTATACAACTTATACAACTGAACATCAAGAAAATAAGTGGGCAAAGAACCTGAATAAATACTTCTCCAAAACCGGTTTGGCTCAAAACCGGTTTGGCTCAGTGGATAGAGCGTCGGTCTGCAGACTGGAAGGTCCCAGGTTCGATTCCGGTCAAGGGTATGTACCTTGGTTGCAGACACATCCCTTGTGTGGGGTGTGCAAAAGGCAGCTGGTCGATGTCTCTCTTCCATCGATGTTTCTAGCTCTCTATCTCTCTCCTCTCCCTTCCTCTCAGTAAAAAATCAATAATATATACATTTTTTTAAAGCTTATCATCAAAAGAAATCATCAACAAAATGAAGAGAGCTCAATGCATGGGAGAACATTTTTACCAATGATACATCAGATAAGAGTTTAATTTCCAAAATATATAAAGAACTCATATGACTTAACAAAAGACAAACAATCCAATTTAAAAATGGGCAAAATACCAAAATAAATACTTCTTCAAAGTGGACATACCAGATGGACAAGAGACATATGAAAAAGTGCTCAAACTTACTCATCATAAGTGATATGCAAATTAAAGTGACAATGAGGTATCACCTCAGACCTGTCCAGAATGGCTACTATTAACAAATCGGCAAATGATAAATGGAGAATAAGGAACCCTACTACACTACTAGTGGGAATGCAGAGTGTGGTGCAACCATTATGGAAAATAGTATGGAGTTTCCTCAAAAATGAAAAATGGAACTACCATTTGACCCAGTGATCCCACTTCTGAGAATATACTCCAAGAAACCAAAAAGATGAATCAGAAAGAATATATAGCAGCATAATTTATAATAGATAAGATCTGGAAACAGCCCAATTCTCCATCAGGAGATGAATGGATAATAAAGCTGTGATACGTTGATACCATGGAATACTATGGAGCAGTAAAACAGAAGTGTCTTTTACCCTTTGAGACAGCATTGAGGGACCTGAAGACTATTGTACTAAATGAAATAAGCCAGTCAGAGAAAGATAAGTGTCGTGTGATCTCACTCAAATATGGAATCTAATGAACAAAATAAACTGATGAACAAAATAGATCCAGAAACAGAAGCATAGAATAGACCATGGAATTTCAGAGTTGAAGGTAGGGGTGACTGGGTGAGTAGGAAGAGATTAACCACAAAACTTGTATGCATATATGCATAATCCCATGGACACAGATGATAGAGTAGTGACGGCCTGAGACGGTGGTGGGTGCAGGCTATAGGAGGTCAATGGGTAGAGAAAAGGGACATCTATAATACTTTCAACAACAAAGATTTTTTTAAAGCTTCTGCATAACAAAAGAAACCAACAACATGAAAAAATAGACTACTGTATTGGAGAACATATTCACCAATGATACCTCTGATAAGTGGTTAATTTCCAAAATATATAAAGAACTTATATAGCCCAAACCTAATTCTAAGAAGACAATTAGATTTTTTCAAATGGGCAAAGTATCTGAATATACACTTCTCCAAAGAGGACATACAGATGGCCAGTAGACATATTAAAAAATGCTCTAAGTCACTAATCATCATAGATGCAAATTAAAACCACCTTGAGGTATGACCTCACAACTGTCAGAATGGCTACTATCAATAGGTAAACAAACAGCAAGTGCTGGAGAAGATGTGGAGAACTGTTTTTCCTAGTACACTACTGTGGAAAACAGTATGGCGTTTCCTCAAAAAATTAAAAATGGAACTGCCTGTTGATCCAGCAATCCCTCTTCTGGGGATATATCCTAAGAATCCTGAAACACAAGTAAATATATGCATACCTATTTTATAACATCATTATTTATAATAGCTAAGATCTGGAAACAGCCAAAGTGCCCATCAGTAGATGAATTGATAAAAATTCTGTGATACATTTATACCATGGAATACTATGCAGTAGTAAAAAGGGGTCTCTTACCCTTTGAGACAGAATAGAGAGACCTGGAAAGTATTATACTAAGTTAAAGAAGCCAGTCAGAAAAAGACAAGTTACTACATAATCTCACATTGTATGTGGAACCTAATGAGCCAACACACTGATGATCAAAATAGACCCAGAGATATGGATACATGAAAAAACTGACAGATCTCAGAGGAGAGGGGGCTGGAAGATACAAGAAGAGTTTAACCAAGGACCTTAAATGCATATATAGTAAATGCATATATGCATAGAACATGAACACAGACTATCGAGTAGTGAAGGTATGGGCTGGGCAAGGTCTGAGTGGAGATGGCCTAGGAATAGGGGGTGCGGGGGGAGGTGGTGTTGGGGATATCTATAATACTGTCAAAATTTTTTTAAAAAGAAAGAAAACAGTGGTAGGAATTTTTGAAATAAGAAAATTGTGCGTCTTAATAAACTATAGGTTTCTCCACCACATACCTTTTTTGCTCATTGTTTTAAAACCAATCTGCCTGATTATCTAAGAATTTTTTCTCCCTCAATTCAAATGAATCAATTCTTTTTGTTTATTAGAGGAAGACAAAGGAATAACACATGTCTGCTAGGGTTGTCCTATCATGTGCTGCTATAACTGGTGTTACTTTCACAAATGTCATAACTTACTATGGCAAAGCTGTTCTGCCCAATCCAGTGTATCTTTGGCTTTGCTAATGATGCCCCATTTGGACTTCACCTCTGCTTAGATCCCTGTGGTGGTGTGTGTGTACTGCCATGGTGATATTAATGTTCTCAGTCATTTTGCCAAATTTAGTTATTTCATTATAATCCTCTTATAATAAAAAAATACTATTTTTAGTACTACAACCTTCACACTCACATACTTGTTAATAATTGTCTATTTTTATAGAGCCTGATACAGCACAAATACTGGATTCTGCAGGAAGAGGTATAATAAAGAAGAAAGTCAAGACACAATCAAAGAGACATGTTGAATCAACGAGTCATGCTGAATCAAAGAGTCATGCTGGTAAGAACAAGAATATTTCAAGTCTATTTATGGTTTATTTATCTTCTCAAAAATTTAAGTTTGGATCTTAAATGACCACAGTACCTTTATGCTAATATTTTTCATATTTTGTTCTTCATTTCAGAGTGAGAAAGGGAGAGAGAGACAGACAGACATAAATATCAATGATGAGAGACAAATATCAATTGGCTGCCTCCTTACCACCTACCAGAGATCAAGCCTATTACCTAGGCATATGCCCTGACCAGGAATCAAACTGTGACCTCTTGGTTCATGGGTCAATGTCAATCACTGAACCACACCGGCATGGCACCTATATGCTATTATTACATGGTAGAACTTCATAATTTCCCTTTATAATTAATGGAATTCTAGCAGTTAAATCAGTAGATAATTAGCTACATATATGTTTTAGTATTCATCCATTTAAAGTGATCCATAAAAAAAAACACAATATTGTTGTGAGCTTAGAATATGGTTGTTGGAAGCCTATAAAATGATGTTCTTCTCACAGTCTTTTTCAGGTCCTATCAGATAGTTGCATTGTACTTGCAAAGGCAGAAAAGCTACTTGATGAATGGGAGTAGAGGAGAAATTTAGAAAAGGGATATTGCATCAGTTATTAAGTCCATCCATGTGATTAAACTATCAGGCAAATTTGTAATATCTAAAGTGAAGTAGCAACCTTTAGGAGTTTTTCAAATATAGTTTATATTATAGTCTACTGCTTCCTGTTCTGTTATTTCAGTGCTTAATACACTTCATCATGATCTTTTACATGGTACCAATGGATGCAGACAGGTTAACAGAGCAATCAGGAAAGGAGACAATCAGAGAAAGGCTTTAATAGCACCAGTCATCCAAAGGTGATAGTATTCTTGCCCCAAGTCCATGCCCTCAGAGAAACACACTAGAAGCTTGACATAGCAAGGAAAGACACTTCAATAAAATATAAAATAGTCCATCCTCATCACTCAATAAATGACCAGCCACACAATGACAAAATTCTCCAACTGGGGTGGGGGAACCCAGTACAAAGACTTGCTGTAATACATTGAGTAAAATGCTCAGTATTTACCACAAAATATATGAGACCTAAAAAGAGACAGTGAAGTGAAAACTCCAGGGAATATTGGTTTTAAAAAATGTAATAAGGTAGTGGAAGGATATTGTGAAGATGGGAGCTTGTGATTCTTACCATATTGTTTAGCACATGTTTTATTTCCTAATCCTTATCCTACTTCCTATCAAATACTCTTTATAATGCCTCCTTGTTTATTTAAGCATCTCTGCATGCTTCTTTCTATGGCCAATTCCTTTTTACTTATGCCAGTTGGAAAAAGAACCAGAGAGCCTCAAATACATTTACTAATATCTAATTTTACATTGCTGTAACTCATATTACTTTCACAAAATGTAGTTTTATACTTACTCAAAGTTGTTCTTTCTTTTTTATGTGTTTTTATTCATTTTTATAATGATGAAAATCAAGGTAGTTTCCATCTCTTTTTTAGACTGTACTAGATGTCTATTTGAGCTGCGAAGGTCATAGTGCAACCTTTAACATTTTTATTTAATTTCTTTATTCATTATGGTGTTACATATGTGTCCTTATTTCCCCATACCCCCACTCATGCCATCACCCGTCTGTTGTCTGTGTCCATTGGTTAGGCTTCTATCCATGCATACAAGTCCTTTGTTTGATCTCTCCCCTTACCACCACTCTCTCCTACCGTGTTTCCCCGAAAATAAGACATCCTCCGAAAATAAGACCTAGCGCATGGAAAGATAAGACATCCCCTGAAAATAAGACCTAGAGCAACTTTGGGAGAAAAAATTAATATAAGACACAGTCTTATTTTCGGGGAAACAGGGTACCTTCCCTCTGAGGTTTAATGTTCTGATCAATGTTTCTCTGACTCTAAATCTCTTTTTTTCATCAGATTATGTTGTTCATTTATTCCATAAATGAGTGAAATCATGTGATATTTATGTTTCTCTGACTGGCTTATTTCACTTGTTGATCTCTTTCCAACTCTTTGAGTTGTTGGGTTAAGTAGTTTATTACCATTTTCTTGTTTTTTGAGGTAGGCTTGCAGCGCTATAAACTTCCCTCTCAGAACTGTTTTTATTTTGTCCCATAAATTTTGGATTGATGTGTTTTTATTGTCATTACTTTCCAGGATATTTTTATTTTTTATGTTTTATTTTATTTTTTAATTACTTCATTGATTAAAGTATCACATATTTGTCCTCATCCCCCCCATTCCCATCCCAAACCTCTCACCATGCATGCCCCCACCCCCCTGTTGTCCATGATCACTGGTTAGGATATTTTTAATTTCTTCTTTGAATAATTTCTGCTGCTTTGATCTCTTTGATCACTGTTTAATAGCTTGCTATTCAGCTTCCAAATGTTTGAAATTTGGGGCTGTTTTTATTACAGGTTATTTCTATTATTATGTCATTGTAGTCTAAGAAAATGCTTGATATGATTTCAATTTTCTTGAACTTAGGGAGACTTTGCTTGTGACCAATATGTGGTCTATTTTTTAAAATGTCCCATGTGCTCTTGAGAAGAACGTATATTCTATGGCTTTTGGGTGAAATGTTCTAAAGATGTCAAGTAATTCCATCTGACCTAGTGAGTCATTTAGGATTTCTGTTTCTTTGCTGATATTTTTTTCTGGAGTTTTTATCCAGTGATGTCAGTAGTGTATTAAAGTCCCCTACAATGATTTTATTGTTGTTGATCTCTCCCTTGATATCTTCCAATTTTTTATGTATTTGGGTGCTCCTCCATTGGGTGCATATATGTTTACTAGGGTTATATTTCCTTGTTGTATCAATCCCTTTAGTATTATGAAATGGCCTTCTGTATCTCTTGTTATGGCCTTCACTTTGAAGTCTATTTTGTCAGATATAAGTATTGCCACACTAGTTTTTTTTTCTTTAATTTCCATTTGCCTGAAAGGTATTTTTCCATCCCTTCACTTTCAGTCTGTGTGAGTCCCTTGTTCTAAGGTGGGTCTCTTGTAGACAGCATGTATATGGGTCATGTTTTTTGTTTGTTTGTTTGTTTTTTATCCATTCACTCACTCAATGTCTTTTGATTGGTGCATTTAGAACATTTACTTCTAAAGTTATTATTGAAAGGTAATTGCTTATAGCCATTTTTATTTTCTGTGCCTGTTTTATTTTTTACCTTTTTATTTCTTCTTTTTATACAAGTCACGTTAGCATTTCTTGCATTGCTGGCTTGGTAGTGTTAAAGTCCCTTCGCCTTTTTTTGTCAGTGAAGCTGCTTATTTCCCCTTCAATTTTGAATGATAGCCCTGCTGGATTCAGTCCCTTATTTTGCATCACTTTGTAAATTTTCTTTCTTTTTTTTTCTACCTGGTGTGTTTCTGTTGAGGAATCATTTGATAATCTTATGGGAGCTCCCTTGTATATAATTTTCAGTCTCTCTCTTGCAGCTTTTAGAATTCTCTCTTTATCCTGAACATTTGCCATTGTTATTATTATGTGTCTTTTTGGGTTAATCTTGTTTGGGACTCTCTGAGCTTGTGTTACTTTTTTCTTCCCCGCATCAGGGAAGTTTTCTGACATTATTTCTTCAAATAGGTTTTCTAACCCTTGTTCCTCTTCCTGTTGTTCTGGCACCCCTATTATTCGTAAGTTTCTTCATTTCATGTTGTTCCATAGCTCCCTTAGTCTCTCTTCCTGTCTTTTAATTTTTTTCTCCAATTGCAGTTTGTTTTGGCTGTGTTTTGCTTCCTTGTCTTCTTATTCGCTAATCCAGTCCTCCGCTTCTCCTAGTCTACTGTTGAAACTTTCCATAGTGTTTTCTATTGCAGTTATATCACTCTTTATTTCTTCTTGATTCTTACATAAGTTATTAATTTTTAAGTTGTTGATTTTTTTTCCTCCATCTGGTTTATGAACTGTATGACCCTTATTCTGAATTCTTTTTCTGACATATTGCTGCCTCTGTTTTTGCTTAGCTGCTTTTCTGGCAATTTCTCCTTTTCTTTCCTTTGGGGGTTTCTCTGTCTACCCATTTTTTGTTTTGCCGATTGATGTAGATGTAGAGTCATGCAGGGGTTGCTTCTTGGGTGGCAGTGGCTCCTCAGGCTGTGGTTGCTTCTCAGGTGGTCGTTGAAATGTCTGCTCCTCAAATGGCAGAGGCTCCTCTGGTGGGTGCTATTAGCAGCAGCGGTGTCTCTTTTGGCTGGTAGGGAAGGCTTCTCTCACAGCTGCTGATCCTTGGTTGGGAAGTGGGATGCTTGTGTGGCTGCTGCTCCTTGGACAGGGGTGCACTACTCTCGTAGCTCCTGATCCATGGATCAGGGATGACTGCACACTGATGCTGTTCATCAGATGGGGCTGACTGCTCATGAGGCTGCGGCTTCTTGGACAGGGACAGGTTCCTTGCTGGGCTGGTGCTCCTCATATGTGTACAGGCTCCTCCCACAGCTGCTGATCCTCAGATGGGGGACTGGCTGCTTGCTTGGCTGTTGCTCCTCAGGTGGGAGTGAGCTGCACATGCGGCTACTTCTTGGATGGTAGTGGGCCGCTCACCCAGCTACTGCTCATTGGACAGGTTCAGGTTATGTGTGGTTGTTACTCCTCGGATTAATGTGGGCTGCGCAGGACTGTCGCTCCTCAGACATAGGCAGTCTGCTCTTGTGGCTGCTTCTACTCAGATATGGGTGGGCAGCTCACTCAGCTGCTGCTTGTCAGTTAGGTTCAGGCTGCGTGTGGCTGCTGTTCCTTGGACTAGTGCGGGCTGCACAGTACTGCCAATCCTTGGACATGGGTGGTCTGCTCATTTGGCTGCTGCTCCTTGGTCTGGGGCAGATTGTGTGTGCAGCTTCTGCTCCTTCAAATGTGGGTGGGCTGCTCACAATGTTGCTGTTCCTCGTATGGAGCTCAGCTTCTCACACAGCTGCTGCTTTTTGGACAGGGGATGGGCTGCTTGTGTGGCTGCTGCTTCTCAGGGAGGAGTGTGCTGCACATGTGGCTTCTGCTCCTTGGCTGAGGGCAGGCCGCTCAGCCAGCTGCTACTCGTCAGACCCAGACTGGTGCAGGCTGCGTGTGGCTGCTGCTCCTCAGATGGGGGCAGGCTGCTTGTGTGGCTGCAGATCCTCGGATAAGGGCAGGTTGCTCAAGCAGCTGCTGCTCCTTGGACAGGTGCAGGGTGTGGGCTGCTCACAGTTGCTGCTTCTCGAATGGGGACGGGCTGCACAGGGCTGCCGCTCCTTAAATGCAGGTGGGCTGCTCTTGTGGCTGCTGTTCCTCAGATGGGTCAGGCTGTTCACGTTGTTGCTGCTTCTCAGATAAGGGAGTGGGCCACTTATACAGCTGCTGCTCCTTGGACAGGGGCAGGCCATGTGAGGCTGCTGCTCAGGGGATGGGCTGCTCATGGGAATGCTGCTCTTTGGACAGGAGTGGGTTGCTCGTGTGTCTGCTGCTCATGTGGTTGCAGTGCCCTAAGTCTCCTTTGCCAATTCGGGTTGGATGTTATTCGTTTCAGCTGTTCTGTCTGCTCTGGGACAAGGCTCGGGAAACATCTGTCTGTTCTACCACCATTTTGTCTCTCCCTTTCATGGTCTCAAGCGTTTCAGAAAACACATCTATCCACCTTATATTGTCAGGTTCATAACAGGTTTACTACCTTTGGTACTCGTTCTCCTACAACCAACTTGCATTCACAAAACTTTAAATACAGTGTTTGGCAAAAGTCACCTATTCTAATAATCCCATTTTCAATATAAATTCCTCTTTAATAACACTCATATATTTTCATATTATCTAGTTAGCTTTTAAATTCAGCAAATGTCAAATCAAATTAAAAATCAAATAGCTGCAATCACAATGTTGGTACAGTAAAACCTCAATATAATGGACTAATTCAGGCAAGGGGGTGTCCAATAAAGCTGAAATTCTGTTATATAAAAAAGTAGGTTTTTCCAAATACATATATTAAAAAATTGACAAATTAGATAACGTTTATCTGTTTTTACTTATGTAGACACATTTGTGTAATTAAAATTAAGTATATATGAAAAGTTTAATTTCACAAAAATTAATACAGTAATTTAAAATATATTTTATTGATTTTTTTACAGAGAGGAAGGGAGAGAGATAGAGAGCTAGAAACGTCAATGAGAGAGAAACACCGACCAGCTGCCTCCTGCACACCCCCCACTGGGGATGTGCCCGCAACCAACGTACATGCCCTTGACCAGAATCAAACCTGGGACCTTTCAGTCCACAGACCGACGCTTTATCACTAAGCCAAACCAGTTTTGGCTAATACAGTAATTTTAAATTCATACTGAATGTATACATTCACCAGTCACTGTGAGTAAACAAATGCATATGGCTGGGGCATGGCCTGTGCAAGTCAGAACATTGGCCAGCCAGCACATGTTAAAACTGCTGAAAAAAGTTGTGCCATGCAACATGGTCATGAGATAATCATTCACTGACCATTGTTTACACATGGTGACTCTTGGATTTAAATATGTAGACTATAGCTGTAGATATGTAATATTTATGTCAGCAAAATTGCTACGGTGTTTTATTCTAACCTATGGCCTATTTGCTGAAATTTGTTTTAAAAAAGTAACAGTGAATAATAAGAAAATGACCTGTTAATTTAATTATAAGCAAATGTTGATTAAAAGCATTTTAAAATTAACAATGTGTAAATTTTCCCATATGACATATGGACTGGAATTTTGTTTGTTAAATCCAAAGTCAGTTAAATTGAAGTCTATGAAATTGAGGATTAACTATATTGCTGTAAATTTTACCTCTCCCCAGCTATAATGTATATGTATTAAAGGAACCTGGTAGGCACTTGTTCTTAGACCACAGAATATATTATTTTTCTTTTAATTTACAATTACATAGCCTGAAAAGTGCATAAAATAGTCTTAAGAAAGTCAAAGAATTTCTGCCTCACAGTAACTTTCTGCGATGTGGGACCTTTGTTTGTGATTTGACTTGTGAAAAAAATGTTATGCTCCACCTCAAGGGGTATTCTCTTACAAGTATGAATGTCCACTGAGTATAAACTTGGAGGTTGTATTATGAATGTAAACTCACCAAAATGATTTTAAGTTTGTATAGGAAATAGCATTGCATAGAAAAATGAATGAATTATGGGACATCAGTTTATATGTCAATTTTATCATTATCTTGATATGTGTTCTTGATCAAATCACAAAAAATCTCTAAGCCTTCAAATAATGAGGCTTATATGATTACTAAGAGTTCTTCAAATTCCAAGTTTTTCTGAATGTATAATGTCAGAAGTTGATCATTTTTTTTCAATAGAAAATACTAATTAAGTAGTACCACAGACACAATCACACTTATTTATTAATGGTTACCATAAAAAGTGTTTCTGAAATATGTTTTATGTTTATAGAGACTGTTACAGAACCTATGACAGATATTGTTAAAAAAGAAAAAATAATTGCTGAAATCAAGGAACAACTTAAAAGTTATGCTGGTAAGAATAAGAATTTTTCAAGTTTAATATTTATAGATTATGTCTCCTCCAAGATTTAACTAAGTATGGATCTTTAATAACAACAGTAACTACGTGGGTAAAATTTTTAATGAATTCCCTCTTATAATTAGGTAAACTCTAGTGTTTACTATCAATAGAAAGCTAGCAAGGCTTTATTGGCTTTAAATTCACAAAGTTATACAGTAATCCATAAAATCCAATGCTCTAATGACCTTGGAATACTTTTTTAAATAAATATTTATTGTTCAGATTATTACAATTGTTCCTCTTTTTGCCCTCCATTGCTCCCCTCCACCAAGTTTCTACCCCACCCTCTTCCATTTCCCCACCCCCACTCTCCTCATCCATAAGTGTACAATTTTTATTCAGTCTCTTCCCTCACCCCCCACTCTCCTTATCCTCGAGAATTCTCAGTTCACTTCCTTTCTATACCTCTAATTCTATTATATTCACCAGTTAATACTGTTCATCAGATTTTTTAATTCCCTTCGTTTTTAGATTCACTTGTTGATAGTTATGTATTTGTTGTTCATAATTTTTATCTTTATCTTCTTCCTCTTCTTAAAGAATACTTTTCAGCATTTCATATAATTCTGGTTTGGCGGTGATGAACTCCTTTAGCTTTTTTTTTATTTGTGAAGCTCTTTATCTGGCCTTCGATTCTGAGTGATAGCTTTGCTGGGTAGAGTAATTTTGGCTCTAGGTTCTTGCTATTCATCACCTTGAATATTTCTTGCCATTCCCGCCTAGCCTGCATGGTTTCTGTTGAGAAATCAGCTGAAAATCATATGGGTGCTCCTTTACCTGCTTTTCTCTTGCTGCTTTTAATATTCTCTCTTTGTCTTCTGCTCTTGGAATTTTAATTATGATGTGTCTTGATGTGGTCCTCTTTGGATTCCTTTTGTTTGGGGTTCTGTGCGCTTCCTAGACTGGTAAGTCCATTTCTTTCCCCGGATGGGAGAAGTTTTCTGTCACTGTTTCTTCCAATATGTTTTCAGTATCTTGCTCTCTCTCTTCTTCTGGGACCCCCCATAATTCTGATGGTTCACTTGAAGTTGTCCCAGAGGCTTCTTATACTATCTTCAACTTTCTGGATTCTTTTGTCTTCTTGCTTCTGCAGAGGAGTGACCTCTGGCTCTTTGTGTTCTAAATCTTTGACTTGATTCTTATGATCTTCCATTCTGTTTTTAGGACTTTCTATAATATTTTTTTTATTTCAGACAATGTATTCTTTATTTCTAGTTGTATCCTTTTCATATCCTCATAGGTCTCACTTATTTTATCGGCCTTTTCTCAGAAATTCTTGAAAAACCTTATAACTGTGGTTTTGAACTCTATGTTCATTCTTTTGCTTTTCTCCATTTCCTTCCTTTGTGGCCTGCCTCTTCTCTGCATTTTAGCTGTTTCCCTGAGTTGATGGAGTAGCTTTGTGTGCTAGGTGTCCTAGCAGGGCCCAGTAGCTCAGCCTTCCCAGTTACCTGAGGTGGACAGTCTTGGTGCAGCCCTTTGTGGGCTGTGTGTGCAGTCTTGGTAAGCCTTACTTGTTGGTATCACTGGGAAGCATTAATCTCCAAGCCAATTGGCTGTGCGGATCAGCAGTGTCTCAGCTAGGAGGGCTTCTGTGCTCAGCTTGGATGGGGCGGAGTCTCAGGTTGGTGCAGACAAGCTTTGGTTTCCCTTCAGCCCCGCCTTATGAGGGTCCTATTCAGCAAGTCCCGCTACACTGGTTGCTGGTGTGTGAAATACTTGGGGGAAGGCTGTTCTCTAGTTTTGCCTGCTCCCTGACATTCAGTTTCTTCCCAGACCAGAGCTAGTTGTCAGTGCAATTGGGAGGTTTTGTTTTTCTCCCAGATGAGAAAGCTAGCCACTGGAAGGGCTTCTGTGCTCTACTTGGATGGAGCAGAGTCTTGGGGTGACATAGACAAGCTTTGGTTTCCCATCAGCCCCGCCCTAAGAGGGTCCTTTTCCTGAGTCCCAGAGTAATGACTGCTGGTGCGTGCACCTCTGAGAGAGTTTTGCCCACTGCCTGACAGTTCAATTACTTTCTGACTGAAGCTGGCTATCAGTGCAACAGAGAGGTTTTGTTTTCCTCTAGAACAAGCAAGCTCTCCGTGCATTAGCTGCCTGCCCTTTCTGTGCTCGCTGCAAGTAAGCCAGCAGTTGTAATTTTAAAATTGTTGTGGTAGGCTGCATTTAGATGTTTACTTTATGCTGCCATCTTGGTTTCCTCTCTACCTTGGAATATTTTTTATGTAAATATTTCCAGCTGCTATTCCACTCACTTTCTATTAAAAGGATTAGAAAGGAAAGTTGATCTGAATGTGAAAAAAAAGACTATTTAATATGTCTTATAAGAAGATAAATATAACCAATAGGCATTATATTGGATACAACTCCCTCTAAGTAATTAAGTTGGCCCATATATGTATACCTCTACTAGAGGCCCAATGCACAGATTCATGTACTGCTGGGGTCCCTTGGCCTGGCCTGTGGGGGTTGAGCTAAAACCGGCTCTTCATCATTCCCTGAGGGGTCCCAGATTGTAAGAGCATAATTCCAGGATGGCAAACCCTGGAATTGGGCTCCCTCCACTCTGGTTCCCCTTGCATCACCTGAGAATGGCCAATGTCACCACGGCTTGGCAGCTCCTGCATTGAGTATCTGTCCCCTGGTGATCATTGAGCATCATAGCCACCAGTCAGATGGTCAAATGGTTGGACAGTCACTTAGACTTTTATATATATAGACTCTAGCTATGTTACATATTTCACAAATACAGTACTGCCTTTAGTCCTAGAATAACAGTATTAGATAAATTTCTCTTTGATGCAAGAAATACTGTAGTTATGAACTTTACTGCAGAATTGTTGGTGATAGATTTGGAAGTAGCTGAATATTCATATATAAGCACTGTGTTCTCACTGAAATTTAAGATGAGAGCAAGATTTCCAAAATGTTTCTTTTAAATGCTTTATCATTTATTTTATTCTGTTCATACTTTCTATTCCTGAAAAAAGTATTATTACAAATAGATAAAAAATTATTTACTCAAAGAGCTGATAACAGAGAAAAGATGATGCTGTAAATATAAAATTCTTTGAACCAAGTAATTTGTTTTGTGATTTACTCTAACAAATTTGGTAAATTATGATAAACTATTTTTCTATGTCAATAATTTTCATGTTTTTGCTTAGGTACATCCAATTACTTATTTTTTCTCCTTTTATTGAATTTATGATGGTAACATTCTATATAATTAATTGCTAATATTCAAATCAACCAAGCAGCAGGACAACCGGTTGCTATTATGCACACTTGACCACCAGGGGACAGATGCTCAATGCCGGAGCTTTCCCCTGATGGTCAGTGTGATCCCACAGGGGGAGCGCCAGAGAGCCAGAAGCTAGGCTCTCTATATGGAGAGCAGGCCTAAGCCGTCAGTCAGTTGGACATCCTCCGAGGGCTCCCAGACTGCGAGAGGGTATGGGCCAGGCTACGGGACATCCCCCCAAGTGCGTGGCCTTTGGGGGTCAAGCCTAAACTGGCAGTTGGATATCTCCCAAGGGATGTAACAGTGTGCCAAGTGGCAGGCAGCCAGGGAGGAGCCTGAGCCAGCACCACACTGCTGGCATTCATCCCAGCCTACTGTGCCTGCTGCTGCCATTTAGTAGTACTGCTGCAGAGTCTCAGCAGTGCTCACCAGCTTGCCTTTTGGCTAACCACACTGACCACCAGGGGGCAGCTCCTGCATCGAGCATCTTCCCCCTGATGGTCAGTGCACATCATAGCAAATGGTCAACTAGTCGTTCTGGTCATCCCAGTCATTCGGTCAAAATGGTTGCTTAGGCATATGTATATATATATGTGTGTGTGTATATATATATATATATATATATATATATATATATATATATATATATATATGGTGAATTTATAATTAAATGCTCTAAACAATTAAATGCTCTATTTATTTGATAGAAATTGTCAAGAGGAAAAGAGCTGAAAGGAGACTATAGGTCAAAAATAGAACTGAATACTCTTGTTTAAGGTAAAAATGGGGTTGGTTTAAAGGTCAAAATTAAGGAAAATGCTATCTAAGAACCCAGAGCAAATAAAAGATTAGTAAATGAATGAAGATTTTATAGAAATTGGAATTATAGACAAAAGGCCCACCAAACATATGAATAAAGAATTATAATTTCAGAAATAAAAAATAATACATGGGAAATAACTAGCATGCAAAGAATCATAGTATCTTTGTATAATTTTTAAATTTTTTAAATTTTAGGTATGAATTTCTTTAAAAACAAAGAAATGTCCACATTTCAAGATGATTTTTTTTTAACCAGTCCTATTGCACCAACTAAATTGTCAACAAATGTCATCAATTTTTCATCCTATGACAATCAAGGTAAAAAATAATACATAATAATGTAAAATAAGTATCTAATTGCTCAGAATGTTTTATAGTATACTTTTTAATTTTACCCTTTATAAAATACTTAAAACATCATAAAATACCTGACACATATAAAAATACTATATTCTAATGATTTCCTTTCTATTCTGTTAAAATCACATTTCCTCTTTCTCAGCTTTTATCATATGTAGTTATAAGCATATACATAATGATATTCTATACAAGTATTTTTCAAAATATTTTATTGTGCTTTCTTTATATTTAATTTTTATTATGGAATTCCCACCTTATCTTCTCCCCCACAACACATATTATTAATTTAATTTTAAAGTGTACACACACACACACATGCACAGTTTTAGAAGAAATTCCTAACTTAAATGTTTTTATTACATTGTTCTCTAGAGTATTTTTATGCTATTACACTCACTTTATGAAATACATTTTTAAATGTAGCAGTTTTGTTGCTGGAATCAGGACATTTGGAATAGCTAGTCTTCCATAACACCTGTATTCAAACATACATTCAGTTTCTATTTTATTTTAATTTATTTTAAAATATTTGTTGTTGAAAGTATTACATATGTTCTTCTTTTCCCCTCATATACTTCTTCCAGCTCATTCCTCTGCCCCAGGCTCTCACCTCCACATTATCTATCTCCAATGTTATGCATATACACACATAAGTTCATTGATTGATTTTTTTCCTACCTATACACCCCTGCCTTCCTTCTGATGTTCAAGAGTCATTCAAGTTTTTATGACACTGGATCTATTTTTGATCATCAGTTTATTTGGTTCATTAGATTCCACATATGAGTGAGATAATGTGATACTTATTTTTATCTGACTGGCTTATTTTGTTCATCATAATAATCTCCAGGTCCAAATGGTAAACTCATCATTTGCAACGCATGCTGTTGCAAATGGTAAGAGTTCTTTCTTTTGATTGCCTCATAGCATTCTATTGTGTAAATGTACCACAGGTTTTTATCCAATCATCTGCTGATGGGCACTTAGGCTGTCTCCAAGTCTTAGCTATTGTAAATTGTACTAGTATGAACATAGGGATGCATATATTCTCTCTGAAGAGTGTTTCAGTTTTGTAGGATATATTCTTAGCTATGGGATAATTGGGTCAAATGGGAGTTCCATTTTTAACTTTTTGAGGAAATTCTATACTGTTTTCTACAGTGGTTGCACAAGACTGCATTTCAACCAGCAATGTACTAGGATTCCCTTTTCTCTACAATATTGCCAACAGTGTCTTTGGTTGATTTGTTGACAGGTGTGAGGTGATATTTCATTGTTGTTTTGTTTTGCATATCTCAGATAACTAGTGATTTTGAGCATTTTTCATTTGTCTCTTGGCTTTCTGGATATCCATTTTGGAGAAGTGTCTATTTAGGTTTTTTGCCCATTTTTTAATCAGATCCTTTGTCTTCCATTTGTTAAGTTGTATGAGTTCCACATATATTTTGGATATTAAACCCTTATCAGATATGTCATTGGTAAATATGTTCTCCCATAAAGTAGGATCTCTTATTATTTAGATGACAGTTTCTTTTGTAGTGCAGAAGCTTTATATTTTGATGTAGTCCCATTTGTTTATTTCTCCTTAGTTTCCATTGTCCTAAGAGATGTATCTCTAAACACATTGCTATGAGAGATGGCTGAAATTTTGCTGCCTCTGGTTTATTCTAAATTTTTTTATGGTTTCACTAAGTACATTTAAGTATTTTATCCGTTTTGAGCTTATTTTTGTGTATAGTGTAAGTTGGTGGTCTATTTCCTTTTTATTTTTTTTTAATGTATCTATACAAATTTCCCAGCATCATTTATTTTATATTTATTTATTTTTATTGTTTAAAGTATTACATATGTCTCCTTTTTCCCCTGTCAACCTCTTCCATGCCACTTTCATGACCCAGGACAAGCCCACACCAGCCCAATGTCCGTGTTCATTTGTTATGCTAATATGCATGCATACAAGTACTTTGGTTGATCTCTTACATTACCCACTCCAACCTCCCCTGCCTTCTCTCTAAGGTTTGACAGTCTGGTTAGTGCTTCTCTGTCTCTGGATCCATTTTTGTTCATCAGTCTATATTGTTCATCATATTCAACAAATGAGTGAGATCATGTGATATTTATCTCTCTGACTGGCTTATTTTGCTTAGCATAATGATCTCCATGTCCATCCATGTTTCTGAAAATGGCAAGAGTTTTTTTTCTTTTTCTTTTTTACACCAGCATAGCATTACACTGTGTAGATGTATATTTTCTAAACCACTCATCTGCTGATGGGTTCTTAGGCTGTCTCCAAGTCTTAGCTACTGTAAATTGTGCTGCTATGAACACAGGGGTGCATATGCCTTTTAATGATTGGTATTTATGTTTTCTTGGGATATATTCCTAGAAGAGGAATTACTGGGTCAAATAAGAGTTCCATTTTTAATTTCTTGAGGAGACTCAAAACTTTTTTTTACAGTGGCTGCAACAGTCTGCATTCCCACCAGCAGTGCATGAGGGTTCTTTTTTCTGCCACATCCTTACCAGCACTTGTCATTTGTTAATTTGTTGATGATAGCCAGTCTTACAAGTGTGAGATGATACCTCAGTGTTGTTTTGATTTGCATCTCCCTGATGATTAATGACTTTGAGCACATTTTCATGTGTCTGTTGGCCTTCTATATGTCCTCATTCAAAAAGTATCTATTTAGATCATTTGCCCATTTTTTTTATTGGATTTTTTATCTTCTTTTTGTTAAGTTGTGTGAATTCTCTGTAAATTTTAGAGATTAAACCCTTATTGGAGATAACATTTGCAAATATGTTCTCCCATGCATTGGGCTTTCTTGTTGTTTTGTGGATGGTTTCTTTTGCTATGCAGAAGCTTTTTATTTTGATGTAGTCCCATTTGTTTATTTTATTAGTTTCCATTACTCTAGAAGCTATATTGATAAAGATATTGCTACAACATATGTCTGAGATTTTGCTTCCTATGGATTCTTCTAAGATTTTTATGGTTTCCTGTCTTAGGTTTAAGTCCTTTATCCATTTTTTAGTTTATTTTTGTGTGTGGTGAAAGTTGGTGGTCTAGTTTCATTTTTTTGCATGTATCTGACCAATTTTCCCAACACCATTTATTGAAGAAACTGTCTTGACTGCATTGTATGCTCTTGCCTCCTTTGTCAAATATTAATTGAGCATAATGGCTTGGGTCTATTTCTAGGTTCTTTGTTCTGTTCCATTGGTCTGTATGCCTGTTCTTGTGCCAGTACCAGGCTATTTTGAGCACAGTAGCTTTGTAGTATAACTTGATACCTGGTATTGTGATCCCTACAACTTTATTCTTTTTTTAATATTTTATTGATTTTTTACAGAGAGGAAGGAAGAGAGACAGTTAGAAACATCGATGAGAGTCATCAATCAGCTGCCTCTTGCACGCCTCCTACTGGGGATGTGCCCGCAACCAAGGTACATGCCCTTGACCCCTTGACTGGAATTGAACCCGGAACCCTTCAGTCTGCAGGCTGACGCTCTATCCACTGAGCCAAACCAGTTTCGGCTACAACTTTATTCTTCTTTCTCAATATTGCTGCAGCTATTCAGGGTCTTTTTTTGATTCTATAAAAATTTTTGTAAAGTTTGTTCTTGATATGTGAAAATGCCATTGGTATTTTACTAGGGATTCCATTGAATTTATAGACTGTTTTGGGAGTATGGACATTGTAATGATGTTGATTCTACCAATACAGGAACATAGTATATTCTTCCACTTGTTTATATCTTTCTCTAACTCTTTTTCAGTATGCTATAGTTTTCTGAGTCTTTTACCTCCTTGGTTAAGTTTATTCCTAGGTATCATTACTTTTTTGTTGTAATGGTAAATGGGATTGGTTTTATTTTGTATTATTTTTAGTTTCTCTTAGAGTTCACTATTGGTGTATAAAAATGCTATGGATGTGTGGGTGTTAATTTTATATCCTGATACATTGACAAATCCATTTATTAAATCTAGTAGTGTTGTTGTTTTTTTATGGAGTCTTTAGGGTTTTCTGGGTACAACATCATGTAATCTGCGAAAAATGAGTTTTACTTCTTCTTTTCCAACTTGGATGTCTTCTTCTTGTCTGATCGCTATGGCCAGGACTTCTTGAATTATGTATAGTAAAACTGGTAAAAGAAGGAATTTCTGTTTTGTTCTTGTTCTTAAGGGAAATGGTTTTAGGTTTTGCCCATTGAGCATGATGTTGGCTGTAGGTTTGTCATATACGACCTTTATAATGTTGAGATATGTTCTCTCTTTTTCCACTTTGCTGAAAGTTTTTATCAAAAAAGGATGTCTGGCCTGTACTGGTTTGGCTCAATGGATAGAGCATCGGCCTACAGACTGAAGGTTCCCAGGTTCAATTCTGGTGAAGGGCATGTACCTTGGTTGTGGGCACATTCCCAGTGGGGGGTGTTGCAGGAGGCACCTGATTGATGTTTCTCTCTCATCAATGTTTCTGACTCTCTATCCTTCTCCCTTCCTCTCTGTAAAAAAAATCAATAAAATATATATATTTTTAAAAAGGATGTCTTCATTGATTGGTATGATCATGTGTTTTTTTGTCTTGTAATCTGTTTATGTGCTGTGTCACATTTATTGATTTGTGAATATTGTACCAGACTTTTATCCTTGGAATAAATGCCACTGGTTATGACATATGAACTTTTTAATGTATTGTTGAATCCAGATTGCTAAAATTTTCTTTTTTTTTTTTTGACATCTGTGTTCATCGGAGAGAGTGGCTTGTACTCTTTGTTGTGTATTTATCTGATTTTAGAATTAGGGTGATTCTGGACTCATAGAAACAGTTTTAAGTGTTCCTTTCTCCTGAATTTTTTGGAAGAGTTTGAGGAGGATAGATGTTAGTTATTCTTTGAATATTTGTTAAAACTCCATTGTGAATCCATCTAGATCACGGTTTTTGTTTTCTTGATTT